CACAGATTAAAATCTGAAATGCCAAAGTTAAATCTAAAACACGAGGGGAAAAAATCCTAGCTCCTGCTCCATTTCTCTTAAAAAATAACTGCTTCTTCTGGAAGAGGAGATCATACAATTTTGGTTTTTGGTCAATGGAATGAAAAGGCATTCTTTTCACTTCCATGCTTTAGATCATAATTTGAAGAATATTTTTATCATATTGATCTAATTTTCTACCCTATAAAAGATTCAAAAAATAAATTTTATATAGAATATCCTAGTTTAGAAAAATATAACAGTCAGAATTTGACCAAAAAAATTACACTCATTTGACAGCCAAAGGTTAGACACATCTCACGATCACACCTTCCTGGAGAACAGTGGACACAGGTAGTTAAAGAGCATAGAAAAGGGGTGAGTATCTGGGAAAATTTGATTTCACAATCATTAACAATTTCAGCAAAGATATTTTGAAATAGATTAATATACTTTACTTTCAATGAAAACTAAGCCAACAACAAGAGGAGACTTTCCCTCAGTTAAGGTATAACTAGTTGGAAATCTGAATTTTCAAAGGCAAAGGCTGTATTAACTGGACAGAAAACAAGCAAAAAACATGGTTCCAGCAAGCCTTAACAGTCAATTTTTTTACAGCATTTTTACTGACATGTAATTCACATACCATAAAACTCACCTTCCAAAGTGAACAGCTCAGTTTTTAGGGTATTTGTCAGGTTGTACAGTCACTAGCACTACCTAATTCCACAACATTTTCATCATCCCAAATGAAACTCTGTACCCATTGGCAGTCGTTCCCCATCCCCTCTCCCCACAGGCCCCTGGCAACCACTAAACCCACTCACAATTCACTTTACAACAGAGGATTTGTCTGCATGCCCATCCTTCCTATCCGAGGCAGCGAACAAGCCAAAGCCACAACACAGGCAGGAAGCCCTCCATGATGCGGCATACCTTACCTTTCTGGTCTGTTTTCTACCACTTTCCTCCTCCTCCATCACAGCACCCTGGCCACGCAGGCTTCCATGCTATCCTTGGAACACTTCAGGCCTGCCCCCACCTCAGGGCTTCTCACTGACTGTTCTGTCTTCCAGTCTTACGGATATTCCCATGACCAACTCCCGTCATCCACTTTGAAGTTTTTGCTCAATTGCCACCTTCTCAATAAAGCCCACCTACCCTCCCAGCTGTTTTTCTTCCACAGGGCTTTTAACATCCTTGTTAACTTAACTTCTTTATGACAGCTGTAGGAAACTCCGAGAAACAATGTCGGGTCAGAGATTTAGTCTAATTTGTTCACTGATGTATCCCAACCTGCTCCAGGTTACAGCCAGATGAATAAGCAATGACTCCAGTATACCCCGTCCACCCCTTTTCTCCTTCCTTCTCTAAACACAGTGGATGTTACTTTAATACGTTCTGGTTTGGCACATTAACATGACACAGAAGAACCAATCAATATTTGCTGAATTTGTATGTTTTCACTGTATAAGACTAGTTTAGTTCTCAACCTTTGGGAAAACAATAGAAGTATAAGAACATTATCATGGCAGAGTCTATAAGAGTTCCTGAAATTAAAAAGTGGTTCCATACTCTAGAAGGTTAGAAACTACTGGTTCAAGTCAATTTAGTGTTTTCCCCAAAACTTGAAAATATTTTTCCTTAGTTCACTGGCATACACTTTCCTTTAAAGAAAAGCACAGCTTTTCATGTTAAGTTTCACTTTAAGAAAAGAAGGGGGAAATGTGACTTGAGAAAAGGCGTCTTCATCTGTCCAGAGTGGAGCAGTGTCACATTGGTTGGTATTGACGATACCAGTAATAATGAGCTCTTCCTGTGATTGTTAAGAACATAACCCTCATAACGCTTCTGCATATCATCTGGGTTAATTTTTTTTAATCTGGGTTATATCTTATAATGACTTTCTATACCTAAATTTTAAAATAGTCAACAATTCTTTAAAGCATTTTCAAATAAATTCCAAAACGCTTAAAAATCACAACAGTTTAACACGCATGGAGACTCTACCCAGCACGGAGGAGGACAAGGTGAACCGAGCCGGGGAAGGGGAGGCAGCCAGCGGTAAACACAGGGTGAGGGCACGAGTGCATGGGAAGCACCGAGAAGCTGAGCACAAGCTCAGCTCTGGCCACGACTCCGAGAAGAGCAACAAGGACCGCAAACAAGCTGCTAGGGGACACAAAGGTAAAACACTCGCTTTCTCTGGAGATTTCTCAGAAGAGGTCCCCTCTACAGTGTCTTAAAATCTGAGTAGCACCATGTCTGGGGGGAGAAAGGTAGGCACTTACCAACAGCAAATGGAGGGAGATCCAAGACCTACACAGACCATGTCTCCCCTCTGAGTTCCTAAATACACGTCTGTCGAAACTCCACCCAATGAGAAGTGAAATGAAAAACAACTGTTTCATCTCTACAGACAGTATGTGGTCCTGTGTCTGTGGTGCGGGAAAGCTTCAAAAATCAATGTATTATTTGCTTTACTTTCAAAATGTTAACATTAGGTTAGTCATAAAGAGTAACTCCATCTTCTCCCAAACAATGCCAATTTCCATAAACTCAAATTTATTACCAGTAGGTATCTTTCTTCTTCATACAGAATGGATGTGCTCAAAGCAACTTTCAAATTCATGAATGGATCCTACTGTAACCTGGTATTATCTAGAGAAATATTATGAAACACATGGTTTTAAAATTGCATTCTGGTTCCTTTTATCTCTTTTTATTGTCTTAGATTCTTATAGAAGTACTTCTTACAACTGAATGTACAACTGATTGAAAGTAAGAGAAACACTCATCATTTACATTATAATACAAAAATTCCCTGTAACAATCCTGAAGAAAGCAATAAAATTACTAAACACCATTTTTAAAACAAATTCACAACGTTAACATGTCCATTCTTTGATTACAGTAATCCAGAAATACACGATTTTAATTTCTAAAGGGCTTTAACATCTTTTAAAAATCTTTTTTTTTCCTTTTTAAAGACATATGTGAACCCCTATGCATTCAGGACTACACATACAACATATAAAAATCCTCTCTGAATATTACATATTTCTTTGTATAAGTTTAAAAAACACGTAAATGAGAAGTTATTTCTTTAATTAAAGTTTAAGAATTTGAGGCTGTTCTTTTTCTTAGGGAAAAAATCAGAATAGTAAAGAAACGCTTTCATATGACATTCACCCAAGTTAGCATTCTTGGCTTTTAATTGGAAACATCTGGGGATGGGCTTGGCCGATTGCAATAAAATTGAAGTTACCAATTCACACCCTGCCATTTTGAGGGTATTTTGTTTTTACAGTTTTCAAATTAAAACCAAACGGACTTTCCTTTGAACTCCAGTCCTGAAGCAAAGATCTTTATGAGGTTTCACTCTCAAGAATATTTTATAAATATTTTGAAAAACAGGAAGGATTTCATGAGTACTTGAGGATAACACCAGCAGAATTTGTTTTGAAAGTTCAAGTTAAATTAAAATGTAAGAACACTAGAAAGGCAATATTATTTAAATACACACACACATACACATACACACACACACACACACACACACACACAGTGAACACCAGTAGCACTGAACAAAACAGAAAGTTAACTAGACATTTAAGTCTTTTATCAGGTAAAGTTGTTACCAGTATCCCATTTTTCCACGATAAACCTATTGATTTTACTAAAACCAATTGCTTAAAGAGAGGCTCTAACACTACATAAACAAAAACAGTTCATAATAATCCATTAGAGTGGGTTGTACCTTCAGAGAAAGTGAGTAAGAATAGGGCTTATTAAATCCAGTCTTTTCCCTGAAAGACAACACCAATGGAATCCCATCCACAAAGTACTACAGCAGACCCCTTGCTCCCTGATTTCATTACATAAACAGAGATTGACTTTATCAGTCCCCAAGAGAGTGCTTGAGAAGTAACTCTAGCTGCCCTGTTTTCAGAAACTGTGTTTGGATTGTGCCACGCTCAGTTGGCGAGGTGAGCTGAGACCAGTGAAGACAAAGGGCCTAAACATCTGAATCCATTTGTGTTCCCCAAATTCTGAAAGCCAACAGATGTACTCCATGTGCTGCAAGGCTAAGCTTTGAAAATTTAAAAATACATATTTTTTCCACTGACAAACAGAAAGTGATGGTATTCTGTGTTTCTTTAATTAAAATCCAAGGGTTTGCAAAGGCTCCAGGACTTACTTTAAATCTTCCTTAAGACTGGGCTATTTATTTTACTATAAGCAAATAATAGAGAATAAAGATTCTAATTCAGTTTTAATCACAATCTTTGCTTTTATTTTGGAAACCCTGGGTTAATCTTTTTTCTTCTAGAAAATACAAAGAAAGCTTGTGAAGAAAAGATTCAGGGAGTCAACTTACAGCCCAAATTTAATTTCAAACTGAAGGGTCATAAGTTGAAAAGGATGAAGGGGAAAAAAAATAGAATGAAAGATGAAGACAAAGACAGCAATGCAGGAAAAAATAAAAAAGTAAAATTCAAAGCTTCTTTAATTCCTGTTAAAGATTAAATATTCATATGAACATTCACATTTATGTGTTTGTATGAATGTATATATTAAATTTGGCCTTCACCACATTGGTAAGAAGAATCAATCCAGGTGTTTGCTTTTTTAGACTACTGCTTGGAGAATAGCTCTTAGAATCACAGGTTCTGCCAGTACCACAGATGAAGTCATCCTTACCTAGACAACAGTAAGAAGGGCTGATTCCAAGTTCTTCCTCTTGAATCCAACCTCCTACTTCACCAGGGAGAAATGACTGTAAATTCTCTATTGAAAACCCTTTACTGGCTCTCCCCTCAGTAAAGTAGGACAAGGCTTTTTAAAGCAAAAAAAATTTTATAGACCTTTATAAGATAGTATAATTTTAGTTATAGATGATGAAAAATTACACAAGATAAAAACCCACTACAAATTCATTAATGCTTTTTAATTTTTTTAATTTTATTAATTTCTTTTGTTAGGGGAGAGTGAGAATGCAGTCCCCCACTACCACAAATTATACAGTTGAGTTTCCCACATTTGAGGAAATCACAGAGGTCAGCACATCCCAAGCTCAATGGATGAGACTCGTCCTGGGAAATCAACCTTTGTGATCACGGTATCTCCCCTGCCAGGTAAGTATCACTAATGCTTTTAATGAGTTTGGATTTTACTAATCACAAGAGAATCTATACATGTTTGTAGAATAACAGTACCGTACTCACATGTTTATTAGTCTGTGTGCACACTCTGCGTATGGATTCACAAACTTCCTGTGAACGCTCCACGGTTTAGAGGTACCAAGTATCGGGAGCATAAGGCACGAGGTCTGCTTTCAGACTACTCTCGCACCCCCCAGCACACTCACCGGGGCACGCACATCTAGACACAGGCTCTTCTGCCTGGGGTGCTTCCCATTTGGTCTTAATGCCTACTATACGTTTGAAATCAAACCTAAATGCTGCCTACTCTTTCTTTACCAAGCTCTCCTTGGACTCTGCTTCACCTCACCACCAACTGAGCTCTCATTCCTGCAGTCAACAGTAATTATGAAATGCCTACCACGTCGGGCTGCCTGCTAAGGTCTGGGGCATGCCACAGAGAAAAATAACGCTGCCACTTTCAGCTCTCAGGGACCCTCTGGTCTAGAAGGGGAAACAATTTGAAGGAAATAATCGTACAGAAACATATTACTACAAAGCATGGCAGATACTATGAAGAAAAAGCACACTACACAGTACAAGAAGGAAATCTAATTTAGATCGGGAGGGTCAGAGTTGGCATCTTTTGGGGATATCTGGGTTTCTGCAGAAATCTATCCACAACTTCGTACAATCTGCTGGAGTCATCTGTTCACAGGCTGCGCTTCTTCTGCACCAACCTCCTCTCCTCGCCCCACAATCCCAACTTGGCCTTCCGTAAGAGCTGGGAGGACATCACTTCTTTGCATTTCCTGTGTCTCTGTAGTGCTCCTTCTAAGGACTGAGTTCTCAAAAGATACTTATTGAATATTTATTGAATTAAACTGTCAAACCATATTCCTTAAAAATAGAGAATCAGATCATTTTAAAACTAGAAGGGCCTTAGACCTCCCTAGTTAATATCCAGTTTCATCTTCACTTTTAAAAGGCTGCGAAGCAATTAAATTGGCCTTAGCAACTTAAGACCAATTACTGATAAAACCAAAATCAGAAGCTCAGTCTCAATATTCTTTTTCTGTTAAAATTCCCAAGCTAAAACCAGACATAAGTATGAATACCTAAAGTGTGTCAGCAACATCCAATGTTCCTGTTTACAAAAATTTGTCTAATTAAAATTATTTAGGATGTGGACCCTCTAGAAATATATTACTGGCTCTAATTTTCAACATTCTTTTTTAAGTTGATATGCCCTGAGTCAAACAAATGCTAAAAACATTTCATGACAAATCCATAGCTTTAATAAAGTCAGTAAGCTGTCTCTGATTGATCGTGTCTCTAACTAGAGCTATTATTTTTTTTCCAGTAAACATTTTTCAATGCCTAAAACCCTTAATCGTAAAAGTCTGTTTAATTACACCCTTGAGGCAAATAAGAAGTTAGCCATAACCTCATATTTATCCCAGGGGTGTGATCTTTGGTAATCATTCCTTTTTTTCTGCCTGATGGAAAATACATCACAAATGACTTAAATGCTTCAAGTTTAAGGATAACCTTTTTCCCCTCAACAGTGTAGCAGTAGGAGTCCTGGTAGAATTTACATCCTATCCCCTTGGACGTCATCAGTATTCAGTGTCTCTGCAAGGAAGGGCTTGGGAGAAGGTTAATGTAACAGCTTTGTGCAGTGCAGGCTGAAAAGATGCCTAATACATTATTTCCTTCCTTTCTAGAGGATCAGTTATGTAATTACGAAGACTACAACTATTTAAACAGTTATTCACAGGGTGAGCAAATCAAGTCCACTCACAGAATTTCAGGTAAATTATTGAGACAAATTTATTATGTCACAAACACCAAATAATCTTGGATGACAACCTGAGAAACCTTCCTTTTTCATTTCTTCTAAGATATCCAGGCTAAAATATCATATGGGTCCAAACCCAATTAACCAAGTTATTAGAATGGAATTTAGAGTTACAAAGATCCTAAGGATCATAGTAACATTAGTGTCCCTGTAATATTTTAATTTTATCCATTTTTTAGCCCATTAAAAAACCGCATATGCACCAAACACAAAAAAAATCTTCATGATGTAAGGATTTTTAATATTTTGTATGGTTTAAAAGTGTTATTTAGGACTTATTTTAAAAATACACATATCTTTAAATTTAAAATACAGGAAAGGAAGTTTACATGGCTACATCATTAAAATAGAGTTCTATAGTGGTATTTATCTTTGCTTTACACAAAAAAAGTATATTATCCTAAAAATTTAAGCAACCAATCATCACCTTTCTATCCAATAACAGTTTGGAGAAATCAAAACAGCATAATTATCCTGTCAGTTTACCACATCAAACTCTCTTGAACTAGTATAAATAAAATTGAAGCTGAAATCTACAACTTCCAGATGTTGGAAAGTCTAATCTTGAGAAGTTACTGTTATGCAGAGCCTAAAACTATGGCATCTATATGATTCTGAGTCAGAAGTGTGGAGCCCTGATGATGTTTGGAAGTGATGGATCTACAGGCCACCTGCAGGCCTGTGGTGATGTAGCATCTGAGTGATACACTGCAGGACACAGCACCAACTCCAGCAATGACTCAGACCCATAAGCTCACAGGTCTAAAGCTACTTCACCTGTTTCAACCCATTGTAGTTATCCTCTGTGATGTTCAAATTGTCCATATCTGCCCAGTGGGAGTCAATTTAAGCTGGCTCCAGAGAGCTTCTGACACAACCCTGGTTATTTATGATAGCTTCTATGCTTCCTAACTTTATCTTCATGTAGACTGTTTATTAAAGAAAATTTAAGTACCCTCAAACTTTACTACGTGTATTTTAAAGCAATGGATTTGAAAATCTATTAATAAATTAAGCCTTCATCCAGTTATCAAACTTCAGTCTTGGGGAACAGTATAATCTATGAGAATCTGAGTCTGCTTCCTGTAGTAACAGCGTGAAGCACTTACAAGATGACTATAAAGAATCACACAAGACAGAATTAAACGTAAGTTTCGAAAGCACTTTTAGCAAATATGAGGCCTTAACTGAAGGGCATGTAAAAATAAAAATCCAAAAACTAGAATAAATCAAATGCATTGGGAGAAAAAAGGAAATTAATTATAATTTCAAATCACATTTGAATAAAATAACTAGGTAAACAAATGTTTTTCTTTCTATAGTTTGAAGTCACTTATTTTTAGTAAAGATTATGTCTACCTATAATTAAATAACTAATTTTTGTATTATAAGGCATGGTGATTATCCCCATTTTACAGATAAAGATATGGAAGCTTAGAAAGTCTGTACAAATAATAAGGCATGAAACCAAGACCTGGACTCAGTGATTTCATCTTTGGGAACTTGATCTTAACTCTGCTTTCTCTGATAAGGTGGTAATTAATATTTAAATTATATGAGGAAATATATTTAAAGCCCAACTTTCAACAGCATTTCATTAAAGGAATGCGTAAATATTTAAATTTTAAATGTCTGCAAACAACTGGAATTATGAAATATGTTTTTAAAGCCCTATGCCCAGAAGAAGTTGTGAAAAAGAAAAAGATTCTACCATTGTGTAAAAGACTGTGGGAACAGCTGTGCACAGTCTCAAAGTATAGACTCACAGGTTACTTACTAATGGCAAAGGAAAAAAAGCAGCTCTACAGTGGAGAAACCTGGTAGATTCCACCTGAATTAATAAGTGCGCAAATTTATCACTGCCTACAACGGGACAAACTGACTTCAGGGGACTCCAGATGTGATGTCTGGAGATTGACACAGCATCACCGAGGTAATATTCTAACCAAGAAGGTTTTGTCTGAACAAAATTATGAAGAGGAGGACTGCAGCTAAGATGGGAGAGTAAAAAGACCCTGAACTCACCTCGTCTTCCAAGCACCCCAAAATCACAACTATCTGCAGAATAACCATCAATGAAAACGCCTGGAACCTATCAACAAAGGTCTTCCACAGGTAAAGACACAAAGGAAGAACCACAATGAGATAGGCAGGAGGGGCAGACTCGCAATACAATCAAATCTCATACCCACCCCTACCCCCCCCGGGGGGGGGGGGCGACCCACAGACACGAGAAAAATTATATCGCTGAGGTTCTCCCACAGGAGCAAGAGTCCTGGGCCCCACGTCAGGCTCCCTAGCCTGGGGTCCGCACCAGGAAAATGACCCCCAGAGCATCTGGCTTTGAAGGCCAGCAAGGCTTTATTGCAGGAGCCCCACAGAACTAGGGGAAACAGAGAATTCACTCTTAACGGTACACATAAAGTATCACACGCACCATGACACAGGGCAAAAGCAGTAATGTGATAGAAGCCTGGGCTGGGCCTGCCTGCTGGTCTTGGAGAGCCTCCTGGAGAGGTGGGGAGCAACTGCGGCTCACCCTGCGGACACAGACACTGGTGGCGGACACAGTGGGGAACATTTGGCCACATGAAAATCACTCCTGCAGTGGCTAGCATATTGGACCATTAGCTCCAAGCCCTGGCCCCAGTCAACAGCCTGCAGAGAACAGTGCTGGGACGCCTCAGGCCAAGAACCAACTGGGTGGGGACAGAGCCCCACAAATCTGCAGACAGGCCGCTTAAAGACTAAGGTGCCCACAGCCGCCTCTGGGCTCACCCCTAGACACAGCCCGGCCCACCAGAGGGCCAAGACCCAGCTCTACGCACGACTGGACAGGCACCAGCCCCTCCCACCATGAAGCCAGACTAGACCTCCAGACCAGACTTACATACCAGGGGACAGACACCAGGAGCAAGAAAACTATGATCCCACAATGCAGGCCAGACTCCATCCTGGGACCAGCTGGGCCCTGGCCTGGCCCACTAGCAGGTAATCTGTGGGATACCCCAGGCCCCATACCCAACTGTGTCAGGAACCAACTCCCCCTCCATGATCTGAAACACGCTCTGGAATCCCTGGGCCCTGTAACCAGACTTCAGGAACCAGCTCTGCCTGCCAGTAGACCAGCACTAACCCCAG